CCCTTCAGTCTGCAGGCCGACGCTCTACTCACTCCAGCTAGGGCAGGAGATTTTACATTACATACATGGCTCTCTTTATATTTCCACCGGACAGTGTTTGTCTGGAAGGAAGAAAGTAGAATGAAAACTGTTAGCCTGGAAAGATCAAATAAAATCCATTAAAAATTAGAAGGAAACAGCAAGAACGAATAGCAAACAGAAAATATAAAGCCCGATGAAAGGCAGCGCCCGTGTGTGTCGGATTCTGGGTGATGGGAGGCTGCTCCGCAGGTGCTGAGGACGTGGGCGTGGCCTGGGGCTGGCTCCTGGGAGCAGAGTCCGAGGGGAGGCCTGCAGGGGGCCTTCACCGGGAAGGTCCTCAGCGAGTGAGAGACTCGGGACCTGGAGGGCTCTTCAGGGTCAAGGCTGAGCCGTTAGGCCCTACGCTGACCGGCCCCTGGACACAGCTGTCCCTGGGGGGAAGGGGTCACTTTGGCTGAGGGCAGTTCTGGGGACAGGCTTAGCTGAGATGTCACCAACCAGCGTCCTGGCAGCGGGAAGAGGAATGCGAGTTGGGAGTGGGACCTGGGGCACCCGCCCAGGCACTAGAGAGGCTGTTTGCTGTACAGGATGGTTCACGTCAAGCATGAAAACGTAAGTTTATATACAGGCATTAGGAAGGTTAGTCAAGATACACATCAAATCGCTCATGGCAACTCTTCAGGGAGGGCGAAGGGAAGAGAGGGCAGGGGTGGGTAGGGGACATGCACTGTCAGGCAGCGGCATTATTTTACAGCGATCATATATGCTGGCGGGGCAGGGAATACACTACGGACATTAACGCGAGATTGCCAGCATGAGCCTGCTGTGTGGGAGCAACTGCGGCTCAGGATCGAAGCTCTGAATTGGAACTGCTTTCGGAATGTTGCCTCCATTGCCCGACTCCACAGACAGACACCAGCCTGGTGGCTGTGACGCTGGAGAGAGTCACCCCACCTGCACAGGGATCCTGCCAACCGGACGCCGTCGGCCTCGCTGCACAAACATCACTGGGAATTGGTCTGGTGACCTCTTGGTTCATGGGTTGACACTCGACCACGGAACCACACCTGCCGGGCAAGCGTCATCTTTCTTAAGGCCACGAGTCTGCTGATTTCATCTGGTGAGTGATCCAGGGGCTTTCCCAGGACCACAAACCAGCCGGCCAGCCAGCAGACACTAATTCTGGTCCTTGTCGGTGGAGTGTCTGCTCCAAACTCAATTTCCTCCATCACTTAAACAAAGATGCTGTTAGGGTCCCCTTTCCCTGAGGAGAACCACGGAGACTCGTGACAAGGGACGGCATGGCACCGTCCACACCCATGCGGGTTGCTGGGGTCCAATCCCAGCGGGTCCAGGGGTCCCCGAAGGTGTGGACGGAGTCGGCGAAGAAGGAATGACACGAAGACAGCCTTCAGTTGATCAGCAGCCTAGTCAGGACCTCTAGCCAGGATCTCCAGCCAAAGTTCTGGTCGGAGTTCTGGTTAGGAACTGATCAGGATCTGATGAGGATCTGATGATCTGATGATCTGATGAGGATCTGATGAGGATGTGATGAGGATCTGATGTTTATTGTCTTGTTACATCCGTATTTATACCAGCCTATTTTAATCCTGTCAATTTCTATTACAAAGGTTAGGGCGTTTCTTATCTCCATTCCAGGGAGTAAAGATTATGTAGCTTAACTACCCGCCTGGCACTTAATTAAGGGGTTGTATCTCCTCCCTAACCTCAGGGAAAAATCCCCACCTGGGGAAACAACCTTTCTCCGAGAGGTGACCTTGGTTAAAACACATGGCGCTAAGGAGAGCAAACATATAAAGAACAATATGCTATATATGCCAGGACCCTTGAAACATATGCTGTGCAGATGTTTCTTTCCTGCAGCGACTGTGTCAAGCAGCAAGGATGGACCGGCTTCCGGCAGCGGGTGGGATTGTTTCAACTGTCCCATAAGCGGGGGTGACAATTATTTCACAATCAGTGTAGTAACAGGTGTCAACCAGCAAGAATGGACACAGGCCCTCGGCGAGGTTAGGAAGCAGCCAGACAATGGCGATCTGGGAACCAGCGTGAAAGTGGCTCAGTATTTAACAGACAGATGTACCTGCCAAATCCAGGCCCTGACCACAGGGGCAAGGGCAGGTGCCGCGGGCCAAAGGGATGGCGCCACGTCCCAGTGGCCGAATGGTCCCTCGAACTCAAGGACGTGTCAGGCGGGTATGAAGACACATCACAGTTAACAAGCTGTGGCACACCTACACGCCAGAACGCTGCGCTGCTGGACAAAAGAACGCTTACCATTCACAACGGCATGGAGGGACCTGGAGAGCATGATGCTGGGCAAAATGAGCCAGTCAGAGGAGGATGCGTAGCACATGACCTCACTCATCTGTGGAATCTAATGAACAACGTAAACTGATGAACAAAAATAGATCCAGAGACATGGAAGCATCGATCAGACTGTCAAACCTCAGAGGGAAGACGGGGGAGGGGAGAGGGGCGGTAAGAGATCAACCAAAGGACTTGTATGCATGCCTATGAGCATAACCCATGGACACAGACAGGAGGGAGGAGGGCATGTGCTGAGGGAGGGGGCGGGGGGCAGCGGCCAGGGAGAGGTCAGTGGGGGAAAAGGAGACATAGGTAATACTTTCAACAATAAGTAATTTTTTTTAAAAAAAGGCACATCACAAAGCCATTATGAGCTGCCCACCTCCTTCCCAGGATCCGACCTGACTGCCAGCAGGTGAGGGCGGCGCTTGCTTGGCAACGCGGAGGCGCACACAGCACAGGACGAGCCGCCCCGCCCCCCTCCCGATGGATAGTCTGTGGGGCTGCCGTCTCCAAATCACAGGAGTGGGAGGCAGGAAAGGGGGTTATTACACTTGAAAATGCCGCTGGACTCGGGTGAATTGAACATTGTTTTCAGGAATTGCAGGTATTTCCAGGCAGGAGAAATAGGAGAGCCATCTGATCCCCGCGATGTTGACTTTAATTTTAACTCGTGTTCCTTGGGCAGAAACCTAACACCATGTGGACAAGGGGATGTTCTAAAGCACCCCACCGCGGCCGAGCCCTGGCGGTCTGGGACGGCTGCCTCTTATTCAAAGGCGAAGGCTTCCCCTGCCGGCTCTCTCCAGCGCACCGACCTCTGCCAGGATGTCTTTTTCCAGGTCAAATCAGGTGACAAGTGTCTCCAGGGTCCCACTGGGTCCGGCCTCCCCTCCGGCCTCCCCTCCGTCCCCTCAGGGTATCATCCTCCCCCCAGGGAACCACCCCCTGTCGGGTGCTCATCTCCGCACTGGCGGTCGTTTCCTGCCAAAGACAAGCGCTGGCTCAGGCTGCCAGACGGAGTGTCACCTCCCCACCAAGAACACTCATCGCGGGTCTACGTGGCCGCGGGAGCCTCCGTGGGCTCACTCGCCCTGGGAGGAAGCGAGAGCCTCCTCTGTCCCACGGACAAGGAAGTAAGACTCTGCGGGAGTCAAGGGCTCCATTCACGGCCTCCTCTTCGGACTGCGATCCCTGTTTTCTTGTTGTTTTAATTGAGAAAGTACTTTCATATCTGATGGAAAAGTACTTAATTTTGACACCGATTTTTCAAATTATTTTCTTAAATGGTCCCATGGGTCTAGAAAACCAAAGGCGTTTAGAACCACATTGTCAAGTTGCAAAGAAGAGACCATTGGTTTTTTTAGAGAGAGTGGAAGGGAAAGGGGGGGGGGGAGAGAAACATCGATGTGAGAGAGACACATTGATTGGTTGCCTTCTGCATGCCCCCGACGGTGCCCGGGGATCGAACCTGCAACCCAGGTGTGTGCCCTTAGCCGGGAGTCAAACCTGAGACCCTTTGGTCCAAGGGCCAACGCTCTAACCACTGAGCAACCAGCCAGGGCAGAAGGGGCCACTTTTAATTTTTATTACAAAAGTAATTTGTAGTCCTAATAGCAAGTCAAAAATGCAAAAGACACAAAGGCAATGATAATTCTCTCTCCTTTCTCCTATTTCATCTCCTGACACAAGTACTATTTAAGGTTTAGTGTGAATCTGAACACATTCTTTTTTTTTTTTAATATATTTTATTGATTTTTTACAGAGAGGAAGAGAAGGGGATAGAGAGTTAGAAACATGGATGAGAGAGAAACATCCATCAGCTGCCTCCTGCACAACCACCACTGGGGATGTGCCCGCAACCAAGGTACATGCCCTTGACCGGAATCGAACCTGGGACCCTTCAGTCCGCAGGCCGACGCTCTATCCACTGAGCCAAACCGGTTACGGCTGAACACATTCTTTTTTTAAATTTCTTTATTGATTTATTTGAGAGAGAAAGAGGGAGAGGGGGAGAGAGAGAGAGAGAGAGAGAGAGAGAGAGAGAGAGAAGCATCGATGTGTTATTCTGCCTGTGTATGCATCGATTGCTCCTGGTATGTGTCCTGACCAGGAGCTAGCCCACAACCTTGGTGCATCAGGACGAGGCCGTAACCAACCGACCGACCAGGCCAGGGTCACATACACCATCCTCTAAGCTAATGTGAACACGCAGGTGTAGGCACATATTCATGATTTGTTCTTTTCTGGTCATTGTAAAAGAATGAATATTGCAGCATATCACTCACATTGCTCTGAATTTGCTTTTTCACTTAAGAGTAAATCATAGAACTGTTTCCCGGCCAATACATGCAAATCTTACAGTTTAACTTTTTAAATTTCGCCTGCTTTCCTGTCGCCTTCTCACCCCGAAGCTCAGAGAGGCACATGCTGTGGGGCTTGTTGGGAAGAGCTGTACGCGCTCCTCCCAGGCAACCACCCCCTTCAACTCAGCTCAGAACAACGTGTTTGTATGGTCCCTCGTTCATTCTTCAGTATTGAGATGTCACCCATTTACTTCCCAGAACTGAAGGCAAGGATCCCCTTCCGCACCCCATCCTTGTCCCGCTCACCCCCCCACACCCTCCTCCACAGGATGACCCCCTCACTGTGGCTGAAACCCCGGCCTGTGCTGTCCCCCGGCTGCACCTGCGGGAGGCTCCCACCTGGAGAGACAGGAGGGGCGGTGCCCTCGCTGCTCCCACACCCAGAGCCCAGGCTGGGGGAGATGGGGAAAGGGGGCACCTGGAGGAGCCGCCCCTGTTTCCCCCTGTGAGAAGACAAAGAGGTCACGCCCACACTGTCACGGCGGGAACAACAAACGGCTGGTGGTGTGCGTTCAGTGGCTCAGTGGACAGAGCTCGGCCTGCAGACTGCAGGGTCCCGAGTTCCATTCCGGTCAGGGCACAGGCCCGGGGTGCAGGCACAGGCCCCGGTTGGAGGGCGTGCAGGAGGCAGCCGATCAACGATCCTCTCTCATCATTTATGCTTCTCTCTCTCTCTCTCTCTCTCCCTCTCCCTTCTTCTCTGAAGTCAATAAAAATATATTTTTTTTAAAAAAGAAGATGCCTGGGGGAGTCTCGCCTCCATCTGGCAGCACTGTCCCCGCCACGGCGAGTCCCCTGAGCGGCTCCCCCTCTCACTCCGCATTCCGCTGGGGGCCTGTCCAAGGCCTTAGGCCACACACCGCACCCCCAGGCGCCTGCACCCCGTGTGAACTCGTGCCCGCCTCACATCCCGCTCACGGGCAGAGCGGGGCCCACTGCTCGGCGGGGGAGGACTTGTCGCACCACGTGCAGTGGGGCTCCCGGGCCAACATCCGCCGGGCCTGGCAGGGGCGCCCCATTCGGTCGCTGCCAAGGGACCATGCTGAGCTCCGGGACTGAACCCGCCTGGGCCAGCCTCGCTGGTGTTGCTGTAGGCCCTCCTCGGCCCCCAGGGTCACACGAGGCAGCCGGGGATTGAGTTCCCATCATGCTCAGAACAGCCCGCAGGCCCAGCACACACCAGGGGTCATACTCGTGCAAACTCAGCCGCTCCCCACGGTGCTCCCAGGGCAGGCGTGTGCTTGGCTGTTTCCGTGCTGTGCAAGGCATTCCTTCACCGATGGTTGAAAGGGAAAGAGGTGGGGAAGTGTTTTAGCAAGCGGGTGACCCATTTCTCAAACACCCACGGCCTGAACAAGTTTGAGAATCAGGGGATAAACCAGCTGATCCCAGATCCCAGATCTGCTTTCCGGGGTCAAAACTTCGCTCCCCAGCCTGGCCAGCGTGGCTCAGTGGTTGGGTGTCAACCTAGGAACCAAGAGGTCACGGTGTGATCCCCAGTCAGGGCACAGGCCCAGGTTGTGGGCTCCATCCCCAGTGTGGAGTGTGCAGGAGGCAGCCGATCCATGGTTCTCTCTCATCATTGATGTTTCTATCTCTCCCCCACTCTCCCTTCCTCTCTGAAATCAACTTTAAAAAATATGTTAAAAAACAACAATAAACTCTGCTCCCCAAGATCACATCTGGAAAGTAACCACCGCTTTATCCTTGACCTGAAGCTCAGAGGCTCTGGACGCTAGGGGTCCGGGGTGGAGTGGCCCTGGCAAATTTCTTTTAGGTGAAAAAACCCAAAGCAAAACTAACCACGCAGTCCTTCCACCCCCGCGCCCCCACCCCCTCCCCCCCGCCCCCCAATCCCTTTTCTTGGGTTTTATCAGCGGCTGCAGTGGCAGCAGCCGGGCTACCGGTGTTTTCCTAATTAGAGGAGCAGGAAGATTCCATTAAGTAAAGAACATGGTCGACTGCCCCCACCGGAAAGGCATTCAGGCGCTGCCTCCTCGCCTCCCGCCTCCTTCTCAGGACCCTGAGGTCTGCCCCGGGCTGTGCATCCGGCCTCTGGGGCTGTGACTCACGCCCACAGGGAGGAAGAGTGGGTGCTGATGGGGAACACAGCGCCGGAGGGGGGAGAAGGAGGAGGGGGCGATGAGGCAGGTGAACCGCTTCTTTTCCAAGAAAAGAAGAGAAAGGAAAAACATCCAGGCACAAGTCTGTCCTCGAGCTCACGCTGAGGACTCTGGAAGTAATCAGGGTCCGGAACCGTCCGGAAAGAATCCCGGAAAGACTCCCACCCACCCCTTAGCCTTCGGGGTGAATGGCCCAGGCTTCTGGCTTGTTTGTCTTTAAGAGGACAGATGTGTAAGATGGTACAACTGCAGGTGAACCAAGTGTCTCATAAAGTTAATCACACCTGCTCTAGGCCAGTGGTCGGCAAACTCATTAGTCAACAGAGCCAAATATCAACAGTACAATTGAAATTTCTTTTGAGAGCCAAATTTTTTAAACTTAAACTATATAAGTAGGTACATTATTATTAACTTAATTAGGGTCCTCCTAAGCTGGCCTTTGTAAAAATGTCCTCAATCTTAGGGGTTGACCTCAGCGAACGTACCCCCACTTCTTCTAACGCCACTTCTTCAAAATAGACTCGCCCAGGCCGAAAACCGACTTCTGCGCATGGGTCACAAAGTTTCAATCGCACTGTATGTGCGTGCCCACACGTGGTATTTTGTGGAAGAGCCACATTCAAGGGGCCAAAGAGCCGCATGTGGCTCGCAAGCCGCGGTTTGCCGACCACTGCTCTAGGCCCAACCATTCCATTCCCAGGTACACTTACTCCAGAGAAATGAAAGCATATGTCCACGCAAAATCATTTCAAACATGATTTCAGAGAGGAAGGGAGAGGGAGAGAGAAACATCAATGATGAGAGAGAATCGTCGATGGGCTGCCTCCCGCAGGCCCCCCACTGGGGATCGAGCCCGCAACCCAGGCATGTGCCCTGACCGGGGATGGAACCGTGACCTCCTGGTTCCTAGGCCGACACTCAACCACTGAGCCACACCAGCTGGGCCCTGGCAGCTTTATTCAGAATAACCCAAACAGCAAACAACCGGAAAGCATCGAGAGGTGAATGGACACACACACCGTGGTATACCCATACAACGGAACTGTATTCGTTCCCTACTGCCGCCGGCACAAACTACCACAAACTCAGGGGCTTGAAACAACAGGAATGGCTTCTCTTACAGTTCTGAGGTCCGAAGTCGGATCTCGGTGTCGCTGGGAGGTCGAGGTGGGGCGGGGCTGGCTCCTCCTGAAGGCTCCGGGGAATGGGAGGTCAAGGTGGGGCGGGGCTGGCTCCTCCTGAAGGCTCCGGGGAAAACGTGGCCTCGTGGCCTCGGCTCCTCCAGCGTCTGGCGGCTTTTCAACCGGCTTCGCTTTGATCTGTGGTCACGCTGCCACCTCCTCTTCTGTGAGCCAACCCCCCACCCGCCTCACCTGTGCCTGCCTCTAGGCCCCACCTGGATACCCAGGCTCCTCCCCCATATCATCTCGAGAGGTGAGCTCAGTCACACCTGCAAAGCCCTTTTGGCAACAGGCCATTCGAGGGCCCAGGGGCGCGCAGGAGGCAGCCAAGCAATGTTTCACTCTCACATCAATGTTCCTCTCTCTCTTTCTCTAAAAAAATCAATAAACATATGTTTTAAAAAACCCTGAATGCCATTGAACATGTCTCCTCTCTCACAAGAAGTGCGAAAGGACCATGTTTTTATGTATCAGTTGTTCTCACTTCTCCCCAGCATTGCACACGGGCCGGCTCACTTTCCAGGCCGCTGTCGCCATGGCCCGGGACCATTTGTCCCCCGTGCTCAGGGAAGGGCATAGGGAACATGCCCCGCTGTGTGCGAAGAGGCTTCGTGCACATCCCCCGGACCGCGGGGTCCCATTCCACCGCGGGCGTGGGTTCATCGTCACTCCCTCAGCCTGTCCCTCTTAATGGACACGTGGGCCGCGTCATCTGTGGGAAGAGAATGGCGCGCCGGCTGGCTCTGCTCCCGTGCTGAATTATTTAGGAAGTGGAGATTGAAATAAGAAATCAAGAAGAGGAGCCGGAAGCAGCCCAGAAACCCTGAGCACAGCACTGGGCGCTCCGGGGCCTCCAGGATTATCAGGTGAACATCGAACCTCGCCTTACAGACAGGAAAGCGAGGCCAGCGCACACCGCAGCCGAGTCACAGGGTTGAGACTCGAACCCAGGGCTTCCGGCCCAGAGTGGCTGCGTGTCCCTCACTCGTGAGCCCAGCGGCACCCTCTGCCCACCTGCACGGCCCGCACCCACAGGGACAGCTGTCGCCTGCCTGGCCTGTGCCCCCCGGGTCCCCTGGGGAGGACTTACGCAGGAGAGGCGGCTGGTCGGAGCCTGTGATGCGGGCACAGCGTGAGAGTGTGGGCTTCCCCGTCGTTCATCCGAGAGGAGCAGCACTTCCCCCGGAAACCGGGAGGGGATGTTCTTTGCGCCCGTGCGTCTGGGAGAAGCTCTGAGCACGTGGCTGTTAAAGTGGAAGGTGTTGGTCCTCAGTTACCCATCCTAACAGCAGGAAGCCCTGACATGGAGCAGACAAATAGAAATGAGTAGCCCTGGCCAGTGTGCCCAGTGGTTAGAGCGCCAGCCTGGGCACTGGAGGGTCTCGGGTTCGATTCTTGGTCAAGGGCACCTGGTGATGCTGCCAGAGTGATTAAAAGAATAGATGTGTAAAATGGTACAACTGCAAGTAAACGAAGTGTCTTATAAAGTTACACACCTACTCTAGGCCCAACAAGTCCATTCCCAGGTACTTACTCCATCTGGGTTGCAGGTTCTATCCCGGCCGAGGACAGGGTGCATGTGGGTGGCATCAATCCATGTGTTTCTCTTACATCGATGCCTCTCTCTCTCTCTCTCTCTTCCTCTCTCTCTCTCTCTCTCTCTCTCTCTCTCCCTCCTCCCCTCCCACTCTCTCTAAAGATCAATGGATAAAAATATCCTCAGGTGAGGATTAAAAAAAAAAGAAAGAAAAGAAAGAAACTAAAAATAATTTGCAATGCTTTCCATGATTTTCCGGCAGCAGATTCACCCTTTAATTATGTTTACCATCACTTGAGTTTCTGGAATATTCATCAATCGGGAAATGGGAAGGAGCTTGGTCGATAAGGTGCTAGGAGGAGGAGGAGGAGAGCAGCCGTTTGCATGCGCCCCTTTGTGCCAGGAATAAACTTACACCCTCCCGTGGACTCACCCCGACAGGCAGGGACCAGGGTGCGCTGCATCTGCTTCCCCAAGGCCACCCAGGGACCACGTCCAAGTCCGGACTCCACAGCCCGCCTGAGGCTGGGCCCACGTGTGGTCAACTCCACGGGAAAATCAGGTCGCATTTTATTCAACAGATCTTTTTTTTTTTTTTAATCCTCACTCAAGGATATTTTTTCCCATTGATTTCTAGAGAGAATGGAGGGAGTGAGGAGAGAAAGATGAAAGGGAGGGAGGAAGGAGAGAGAGAGAAAGAGAGAGAGAGAGAGAGAGAGAGACATCAACATGAGAGACCCATCAATTGTTGCTACCAGGGCTGGGGAACCTGCAACCAAGGAATGTGCCCTTGACTGAGAATCAAACCCACAACCCTTTGGTCTGAGGATCGGCGCTCTAACCATTGAGCAACCTGCCAGGGCTCAAAAAAATCTCTATTTATGTGCCATCTATGTATCAAATCCTGTTTGCTAGGGAACAAGGGTATAAAAATAAATGAGAGAAATATCATTCCCGGGTAGTGCACAATCCAGCAGGTGAAGATCGAAGCCAATCACACACAGTAGGTTCTCCGCAGTGTCTGCTGAGGGAGGGAGGAGCCTCGTGGTTGTGAAGCCTTCCTTGCATCAGTGTAGACCAGTGGTCGGCAAACTCATTAGTCAACAGAGCCAAATATCAGCAGGACAACGATTGAAATTTCTTTTGGGAGCCAAACTTTTTAAACTTAAACTATATAG